TTTTAATATATTTTTATTGATGTCAGAGAGGAAGGGAGAGGGAGAGAGATAGAAGCATCAATGGTGAGAGAGAATCATTGATGGGCTGCCCCTTGCACGCCCCTCACTGGGGATCGAGCCCACAACCCAGGCGTGTGCCCTGACCCGGAATCGAACCCTGACCTCCTGGTTCACAGGTCGATGCTCAACCACTGAGCTATGCTGGCCGGGCCGGGCCCCCTTCTCTTTGCCTGCTGTGTTCTCCCATGTGCGCCTGGTGCCATGTTGCTGTGGGAGTTAACAATTACATGTGGCAGGTGGCGTGCTCTGGACACAGGTCCACAACAGCGATGGATGCAGCTGACCACTTAGGAGTTTAGAGTAAACTTAATAATGCGATTATAATAGCTCACCGAGTCCTCGTAAATATTTTCAACATGATCAGTAAATCAGCTTCATAGTACAGCTGTAATTTTTCTACCAGGAGTCGATCTTCATTACACGGAGTGTTTCATTTTTTCAAGTACAACCTAAAATCTCCCTGTCGGTCGCTTTTTCTTTAATCCCAGCTTTCTCTCTTCACTTGGACTGAAATCTGTGTTGTTTTCCCTGCTTTAATTTTTTTTTTTTTGAGAAGGCAAAAATTAAGTGTACCTTGTTTTTGTGACTACATTAATCTTTTTTAAACACTTAAGAAGAGTTCTTAGGAAATTAAGAAAATATTAAGAAATTAAGGTGAATGTTAGGAAAAGGTAATTTGGTGGTTTTTGTCCTGGAAAGGGACACTTACGGATGTTGAGCCGTAGTACCTTAGACCACTCGGAATTTTCTGATTCTCTGGGGAATAAGAAGTTCAGGCAGTTGGTGAGAGCACCGTGACCCCTCGCCAGCACCGGACTAGGTAACAGTCTATACTTTTTTACTTAAAAACAAGATGAAACGAAGGGGAAAAGCCTCCACTTTCCATAGAAACACGAATTGATACACAGGACACTTGGGTTTATGCTCTTCTGTCTTATAACCCACACAAAGCTGCCTCACAGGGTGGTTCATGCAGCTTGGATGCTCTTGCTGGGGAGCCCTAGCTGAGGCAACAAGGCGAGAAAAATAAAGACGTCTACGGGGAGGGCGGGGAGGGGGGGCATAGACTGCCCACACGCAGGAGATGCACAGAGAAGCTCCCACAGCTCGTAGCCCGAGCCCAGCAGGGTTACAGGCAAGGTCATATGTATTTCTGTCTACGAGAAATGAACAACTGGAATTCTAATACTTTTTAGCCCAGTTTACATTACACCCCAGAAATGGAAGTACTTAAGTTTACATCTGACAATATTGGCAGGATCTGTTCGTTGAAAACTACAAAACTTGTGAAAGAAATCAAACCAGACCAAGATAAACGGGCAGAGAGCTGTGCATTGGAGGGCGTCTGGTCTGTGGGTTCACCCCAGTTCTGGGACCACGACCCGGGAGCCCTGCCGCTCCCCCTCGAGGCGGGTCCTCGCGAGGCTGTGGCGCAGCTGTTACCGGGCCTGTCGTCAGCGAGGTCCCGGGAAGCCCCTTGGTTTGGTTTGGTTTGGCCCATGTCTTTATTGTAGAGACGGAGCTCATGGCATGAAGCGCGGGTGATGCCGGCACTGACGCGTGATGTGAGCTGCGTTCCGGGGCGGCGTGTGGACGGTGGGATGTGTGTGGGTGGGTTGGATGGAGGGAGGCCACGCGTCCTGTCTGTGTGTCTGTCTTTTCTGCGGCGGTCACTGCCCCAGGAAGGCACGCCCGTGTCCTGCTCAGGGCCTCGCCGGTGTCCAGCGTGAGGGCCGACAGTCCAGTTCTGCTCTGTCTGGCTTCACGTCTGCCTCGTCCCGGCGGGGAGAGGCCCCTTTTCCCTGTTCAACACCCTTTTCAGACTTCTCTCCTGCCGCCTGCCCCCGTCTCGGGGAGTCGGGAGCGGTCACTGGACACTCGCTCCCTGTCGACTTCCTTCTCTGGACGCTGGCATCCCAGTGTGCTCCGCCCTTCGGAGCCCCTGACCATGGAGCCAGCTTCTCGGCCAGCTCTCTGCTGCGGACCCTTCCCTGCCTTTTGACCCCATCATTTCAGCTGCCTGTTGGCATGTGCTGAAGGTGCCGTGCGACCGGAGGCGACTTTGTCCTCGTGTGGGATGCTCTCCCTGCCGTGCACTTGACGACAGCAGCTTTCCGGCTGGTTTGCAATCACTGTGGCCCCCCCCCACCCCCCCAAGTGGAATGATGTACATACAGCGAGGAGAGCATGGATGCGGGCGGGTCTGGGCTGCACGGAGTAAGGGCTCCCACGATATGGAACGTGGTATCAGTTGCTGTCGATCGAACAATAAGGCAAGAAAATGGTTTCTCGTTGAATTCACAAGGTTCATGCTTTACGAGTGTGAGAAATATGTTCATGTGTGGTGAATCTGAAATACCCTCCTGTCAGGGCTGTGACACATGGGGTGCACCCTCTGTACCCCTTCAATTCCATCCCTGCTTCGCTTGGCTTCTTAGTGACTTCCTGTCACATATCTGATGGGAAATATGTTGGGTTAACTTTTTATTTTTAAGGTCACTTATGGTCTTGACTGTTGTCTTGCAGAATATACTTTCTCTGTTTTGAATATGGAGGTAAAGATCAGTTTGGCTAGTGAAGGTACTAAAGGAAAAAGTGTGTACTTCTTTCTGTAATATCTTTCTGATTTGATTTCCTTACAGTGGAATCTATTTCCTGTTATCTCTGTAAATTATTCATTCTTTGAGTACGTAGAGAAATGAAACACAGTTCACTTACCAAAGCTGTACTGTCGATGTCCTAGGCTTTATTTCCATAACATTTAGAGAGGGACCAGCTCAGAGAACAAGTTTCCCCAGAGGCTTTTGAATCCGGTGGCATTTTTGTGTGGCTTCTACTTGAACTCAGTGCCACTCTGGCTCTGGCACTGTGTGCTCCTGGCCTCCTGCTGGTCACGCTGCCTCCTGTCCACGCTGAGCCTGGGTCCTGGGCTAAGCATGTGACTATGAGGAACCACGCAGCTAGCGTGTCTCTGTCAGTGACCGTGGCCAATAACGTCAGGAAAATAGTTATTCTGAGTGTTTAACCACCCAGAGAGAGCGGGGAAACGGCTTCAGTGTCGAGTTTCCATACTTATAAAACCTCCTTTCACTGAACTTCCTAAGTTGTTTTTTAATGTTGGTTAGGCAGTAAAAATCAGGGACAACCAAAAAGCGGCCTAATTGGCAAAATGCTCGTGGACTCACAGGACCAACTGGAGACGGAGCGGGTCCCGAGCTCACAGCCTGCCGTAACCTCTCCCACGGAGGCAGGTTTCCCTCGACCTGCTGATCCCCAGGCCGTGGGGGGCCCAGCCCAGGAGCTCGCTCCTGGCTTTTCTCCTGATTCTCTTGCCCCGAGCCGATGCCCCCAGCACACGGGGAAAGAAACAGCATCTCTCATGTCTCCCCAACGGGCCCCGCCCCCCGTCTTCCTACCCTTCTTCCAGAGCATCCCACTCCAGCCGGAAAGGGGCCGTCTTGGCTGGAGTCCTCTCTCCGCTGGCGTCCCCTCCCCCTTGCCTGCTGAGCTCCGTGTAAACGTCAGCTCGTGGCCGACCCTTTCTGGGTTCTCCTAGACCAGGGTGGGGAGCCTCGCGTCCACGGGTCCAAGGCCCGGGAAATCGTTTGGTCTGGCCCTGCCGAGTTCATTAAATGTTGGACCAAATCAGTTGCTAATTTTGTGTGGCCCGAGGATGATGCTGTAAATCCCCCAACGGCCCTTGGCGAGAAAGGTTCCCCGCCCCTGCTAGGCAGCCAGTTGGCTTCCCCTCTGGGTTCCCACGGCCTGTGCCGGAGCACCCCATGTGGTCTGCCCCCCGTCCCCGCCTCCCACAGAGCCTGGCCTCCTCGGGGTCTGGGTGTGTTTCCAGGACCTGGCATGGGATCCTGCTCATGGTCACAGATGAGCGATACATGAGCCAGGAAAGAGCTGTGGGTGACTCCATGTGTCTGAGGGCCCAGGCCAGTGCTGGGGGTAGCATTCGGACCCCGTGCCCTGCGCCCGGCCTCCCTGCCACACGCACTTGCTCTTAGAAACAGCGTGGCCGTCCCATGTGGGTCGTGCTGGCTGTGCTGGTAGGAGGGGATGCTTCAGGCCGGCTCCCGTAGATGGTGCTGAGCTGTAGGAACTCCCAAAGGGAAGGCTTCCGCTTCATCGCCAGGGGTTCAGCCGGAAGGACATAGCTCTGTGTAGCCACTGCAGGAAGAAGGGATATCAGACTTGGCGTGACCGACACATGCGTTATGTGGTGACTCCGGTTGTGAATCCTGCCGGAGCGTAGAGACAGGCTGGAGGGATTCGGTCACAGAGCAGGCGGCGCCCGAGTCTCAGGCGTTGCTGAATCAAAATGGAAACGTCGTTTTGATCATTTGAATGTGTGGATTCAGATGCTGCAGTTACTGCTGCAGCTGCTGCTGCTGCTGCTGCTGATGGAAGCGTGTTCATGAGATACTTCCTCTTCACAGTCTGGGAGTCTCACGTGTGCTCTGGGGAACTTCTGAAAGTCAGACGATGTTAGGAACAGTCACACACCACGGGTTGCTGTGTAAGTTTAGGCCTATGGTCTGTCTTCTCCTAATTTGTGTACCTTTCTTTTTAATAAGACTGTGGAAACACTTCCCGAGCACCGTCTGCATGCCTCCTTAAGTTGGAAACGTGTAGTCTTAAAGAAATGTCCTGTTCCGTGTCTAGGAGCAGGGTGGTCTCTGGTCGTACTTGGCCTCCATGGGACAATAGCCCTGGCGTCCAGTCATCACGAGACGTCACCTGGCCAGGCCCTTACCCGTCTGCCGTGTGTGCAGCTGGAGGTGCTGGGCCCCTTCGGGGTGCAACACGCCTGCTCTGATCTGGGGGGTGCACTCGCCGCTGGGTTTTCCTTTTGCTCGCTTCTAGATGGCTTGTTATTCACTCAGAATATTTAACAATAAATATTTAAAATGCTGCTTTCTGTGCCGTTGCAGGTCCTGTGGTCTTTGGAACTGGGTCACTGGATTTCTGAGGAACCCTTCGAGCTCTCCGACTCCTTTCCTGCCGCTCCGGTGAGTCAAGCGTTACTTTGTGGTGGGAACCACAACTACAATTTCTTGAGAAACTGTTATTAGCAAAGCTAAGGGCTCAGATGTTTATTAAATCAAGAACACTTATGCCCATAACTAAGAAAACATCCACAGAACTGAATACTTTTTAATCTATTTATTTGTGAGAACAAATGTGAAAATCTTTGCAAAAAGTTGTGAGAAATGCATTCTCAAAAAGTCTTAATTGTGGAGCCCTCAGGACTGAGAAACAAAAATGAGAAGGCGGGGTCTTGAGAAGGAACTCTGTATCTCGCTCGCAGCTTTGAAAGGTGATGCTGTTGCTGCCCGTAGAGACAGACTGATAGGTGTAAAAACGTGGCCTGCCAGCCGTACGCCGCGGACTTTGTTTTCCCGTTTCCCTAAACTCGGCTTCCACTTGACCGATGCGAATGGGTAGGCGCCAGGGCCTGGTTTCCGAAGGCTGAGGCCGGATCCCGCAGGTGGTCTCGGTGGCTGGGGAGCAGGACTGCGCAGCTGTCGACTGGTGCATGACGGTTTGTTCATGCAGAAGGTTACGACCTGGAAGGCGAACGGCGATGGTCTCGGCACCAGCCTTGGTGCGTTTTGGCCGCTCGAGTGTTTGGGGTGCTGATCACGTGACAAGACATTGGCCTCTGCCCTGAATCGCTGTGGCTCTCGGGTTGTTGGGCTGTTTTGTTTTCATTTGTAAGATGACTGCTTTGATTTCCTGTCCACTTCATAAATGTTTTCTGAAGGAGAGAAAAGTGTCCTCTCCGCGCGGCCCTTTTGAGATCCAGGTAAGGAAGGGAAGCGTCGAGTTACACACCAGGTCCCCTTCACACGAGGGTGCGGGCAGCCCCGAGTGCACCGGGCGGGTCGCCGTTGGAATGCGCTGACCTACCTGCCCGCGTGGGCGAGCCGTGTGCGCGGTGGCGTTGCTGGTCTCTCCTGTGTCGGCCTCCCCTCGCACTGCCGCGGGCTCACTGAGACCTGGAACGTGCTGCTGCTTCCAGCCGTGAGTCTCATCGGATGCTCTCGCCTCTGATGGGTGATAAAGCCTCACGCTGGTCAGGGGGACGGAGCGAGGAGCGCGCCCGACCGGCCAATCTGTGATGAGCTGCGGGGGCGGGCGGCCTGTGGGGCCACATCAGTTAGAGAAGAGCGCGGACTAAGGGACACGGCGGTGGGGGACGGAAGAGGGTGAAGACACCTGAACGGTGGCTGGTTGTCCAGCTGGCTGAGCTGCCTGGCAACTGGGTGGAAACCAGATGCCCGGGGCCTCCCAGCTCAGAGCGGCCGTGCTCCCCGCGGGGACAGCCGCCGCGTTAGACCCGGTCGGCCTGGGTGCGGCCTGGGCGAGCGACTGCGAGGCGAGCACCAGATTTCCGTTTTGTGCTTCAAAACCCCTTTTCCAAGTTTTCTGTAGACATTTGTAAATACCGTACTGATACAGATTACTTTTTTCCTGAAATAAGGAGGGTGTTTAGCTCGAGCGGTACAGCTTCGTGCACGCCCCACGTCTGGGCTTCCCCTCCTCGGCCTGCCCGCCCCGGAGGGAAGAGCCCCCAGGGGCTGGTGGGTGAGGGCGGGTCTGCCCTGAGAGGGAGAGTCCTGGTCAGGACGCACGGCCGTTGTTTTGGAATTAAATGGGATTGTAAATATTATCATGAAAGTTCAACGTCGTCATCTCATAAGTTATATTTAATTACTAAAATAACTTCATAGTTAACAGGCAGCAAAAAAAAGTAGTACAATCTTTACATAAAATGAAAGAATACATCCTGGGAATTTCTCCGTATAAACTTGACATCTGTGTTTGAGCATTAGCTTAGAACTGAGCTGGCGACACCTATGCAAATACACTGTTTTCAGATGAAAATGTAAAGCACCCAAGAGGGGGGCAAAGGCACTGTGACCCTCCCTCCCAGGGAGCCCCTGAGTCTGTGCACGGGGCGGGGCGTGGAGGCTGCCTTCCTCTCCGCCAGCCCCGGGCGGGCGGGTGGGCGAGCGGGGATGCAGCCAGACGACCCCGGAGCCCAGAGCTGTTTCCAGTTATTCACTGATGCGCTTGACACGGCGTGACACGAGCCCGCGAGCCATCTTCTCATTTGCAGCTTAAGCTCATCTCTGCGCAGACACCCTGCAGGTCACGAGGTGAAGGTCGGCCTGTGCTGGGGTTGCCGAGCAGGGCAGGTGTCCGTGGGGAGTTTCAAGGGCTCTGACTCGGGCCCCGGGCGTGTCCCTCTGGGTGGAGGGACAACGCAGCTGTGTCCCCTGGGTTCAGGTGGAGGGATGCAGCCCCCGCCGCAGGCGCAGGCCTCAGAAGTCCGCGGGCCGGATCATCATGGCCGTGGCCTTGAGCGAGTAGCCCGAGCCCTTCCAGTAGTACCACTTGATGCCGTTGAACCTGTTGGTGCTCTGCTTCTGCGGGTAGTACATTCCGTTCAGGTTGGAGGGGCCACACGCGTCGAACCACCAGCCTGTGAAGCGCAGCAGAGGGTTAGGATGGGGCCACCCTCCCGGGGAGCAGCCACCCACCGGTCCACGCGGCACATTCACTGCATTTTATGTGACGGTGTCCTGAGTGCCCTGGGCGGGGCCGCAGAGGGGAGGGTGCCCCCTGCACTGTGAGCGGGGCTCGGACAGGCTTCTCCCCTTTGCTCGGGCGCTGGGTGGGGAGGCCACGGCCACGCACAGGAGGCGGAACGTCTGGATGGGGACACCAAGGCCTTGGGGTGGCTCTCGGCAGCCACACCCTTTCCAGTTCCCCAGCTCAGTGAACTGGACTGATCCAGGCTCCCCCCACCCCCTGAGAAATTCTTTTTGTTTAAAATATAACCCCAAGTTTTAAGTGTCCAGTGGAGCTAGATATAAAAAATTTAAAGCCGTAGCGGTGCTCACTGGGTGAAGCTGGGTGAGGGTGTGGCACAGCGGGGGCTGGGTCCCCATCCGCACCCAGTGGCACCCAGTGCCTGGCACCTGCTCTCACCCTGACCCAGCCCACAGGTGCCCAGGTTTGCAGGGAGGGTGTGGGTCTGAGTAAATCCTGAAACATTGTGTTGGAAGGACAGAGAGAGTGATGCCATTTATATGAAACTAAGGACACGAAGCGGGAGCATGGCTGTTGACGTTCCGTATGTAGTGAGACATGATGTGAGTGAACCTCGTGCAGTGTTAGCTCGGGCGGGGTGGGGCAGCGGCTGTACTTGTAGCTGGATGTTTTGTTTCTTTGGAAAATACTCTGGTGCAATGTTTACATCATCATGTTCTGTGATGTGGCCTCTGGACTGAGTCACTGTCCTTCACCCGGTGCCCAAGTTCTGTCCTGTGGTAGCAGCTCCAGGTGGACAAGCGGAAAGCGAGCTTCTCCCGCGGGCAGGCCTGTCTGTGAATGTGGACGCTGTCACCTCTCTGGCTGGTGCAGGGCCCTCGCCCACACAAGCAGGAAGGCCTACCTCCCGTGAGCATCTGCGCGCACTTGCAGATGCACCGGTCCTTGTCCGCGTCCTTGGTGCTGAAGTCGCTCCCCGGCTGGCTGATGCTGCTGATCTTGCCGGCAGACCCCGTGAGGCCCTTCAGGTGGATCCTGGGGGTGCAGAGGGGAGAAGAGGGGGATGAGCGGGGGTTGTGCCGCCGAGAAACCCTTCCCACAAAGAAGCCGTTGTGCCCAAGGGCGCCGGACCCGCCAGTGCCCCCAGCAGCCTGGACCGAGCGTTCTCCACGGGAATAAACAGGAACCCGCTTATCGGCCGGGCCCGAGGCAGAGAGCGTGTTCTGGGGAAACCTGCCGCGGATGTCACTTGCACAGACATCAGCGGGACTTGGGCCTTTCCACTCATTTTCCTGCCGCTCTGAGATAAACAGGAAGGGGGCTGCGTGTGGGGGCGGGGAGGGGGCTCTGTCCAGGTCTGCAGGCTTCACCCGGACAGGAACGCGTCGTGGTGACGGATGACCTCAGCCCTGTTGGTGGGAGTGGGCTGGGAGGCCGGCAGGAGCGAGCAAGGGGCATTGGGTCTGGAGCGGAGCCTACAGCACCGAGAGGAAGTCGTGTCCTCGTGCTGCTGTGCCCGGTGTCTGTGCAGTGGGTCAGGCACCTGCTGAGCACTGGGGAAGGAACAGAGGTGCTGACCCGCGAGACAGTGGGCATGGCCCCTCCTGTCGAAGGCAGCAGCGTCTGGCTGGCCTGTGCCTGTGCTGGGAGGGGAATGGGACGGGGAGGCAGTGGGCAAACCCCCTCAGGGGAGCCGTGGGCGGAGGCTGGCCCGGCGGCCGAGAGCAGGGTCCACGTGCTGGGTGGGGTGTGGAGCCTGGGCACCGGGTCTGCCCGTCCTGGGATCCACAGCACAGACCCTGCGAAGCGGAGGGAGGACCGCACTCCAGCCCCAGGTGACGGCGCCCCTGACGCCCGCTCACGCCCGCTCGTTTGCCAGCCACGACCTGGGAGATCATTTCCAAGAACCACGTCGGGACGAGGGTGGAGAAGGGATGGGTCAGGGGCCGAGTGACCAGGTTCCGCCAGGCCTTCCCACGAGCGTCCACGCCGCACAGCCCGGGAGCCCGCGCTCCCGTCTCCGCACTCGGGGTGGTTGCGGTTCCGGTGGGACTCGTCCGTGGACCAGGCCAGGCCACACTCTTCAGGGTCCCAGGCACACACTCCTTGGGGGGGGGGGGTGGAGGGGGGACTGTTCACTGAGGAGGCGGCCACGGAGGCCGGGCGGGAGCCTGTCCCATGGAGTCCAGGAAGCGCTGGTCCCAGGCACCTTCGTGTAAGTGACTTAGATTTCAGTTTTTCTAGATGTGGCAGCTCTGAACACACGATCATAGGCATTGACTGAATGTCCCGAATTTCAGTGTTTCCTTGTTTCCAGGTGCCATGCACGGCCCAGCTACACGGCCCCCATATGGTCCCCAAGTGGTCCCCGCACGGCCCCCGGCACGCCTGCCGCACGGCCGCCCCATGGCCCTTGCCTGTTGCATGGGCTCACATGGTCCCCGCATGGTCCCCGCACGGCCCCCGGCACGCCTGCCACAAAGGCTCGTGCAGGTCCTGCTCGTTGCTGGTTTCAGGTCCTGGGTTTCTCGCAGTCCCTCTCCTCAGTCTCCCACAGCCTGAGGCAGCTGCCTCCTCCTCCTCACCCTCCTGCCTCCACAAAGGGGAGCAAACAGGGAGGGCTCTGCTCTTGACTCATCTCTGAGACTCACAGGGTGGGGCCACGACAGGAAGTCGCTTTTTTCTGACCTTGGGATTAGAGGACTCAGCTGCCCTGCTGTCCCTCCCTTTCGCGGAGCAGAGGAGTGAAGGCGGAGGGACACGCACGTCACATTACATCTCGGTGTCCACGGAACGGCCTCAGGGCGTGACCAGTGGCCAGTGATGAAGTTTAATGTGCAATTAGTTTCAGTTTTAGTAAAAGAATTGTCTTTTACTGATGCGTTTTTCAGTTTTCTGCCATTTGGGGACCATACATCGCAGCTGCTGTAGACGGGTGCCTCTCTGAGCCATCGGCAGTTATTCTGATAAAACGTGGCGTGTTTTACCAGGACGGCAATGTTTTCAGGGTGGCCTCTGTCTCCTACTGCCAGCACGTTAAACTGAGCTTTAAACAAACGCGTGCTTTATAAACGGCACATTCAAAAACTGAGTTACGTTTCTAAAGGAAATATCTGTTATGAACCAACTCAGATTAAAACATTTTTATAATGTCAGCATACGAGGGTAATGACCCGTTTTCTAAAATCTTATATAAACAGTCTAATCCTTAATTTCTGTGTTTCTTTTTTTAAATTCCTCTGTTGTAGATTCCTAACTGTTGCCAGTTGACAAAATATTTAGCTTGGAGGTAAAACAGTGACCAACCACTGGTGTCTGAACATTCCTCGCGGCTTCGATCTTTGGAGCGTCCTTGGTGGGGGGTGAGGCCCGACACCTGTCTCGCCGCCGCCCGCCGGGGGCAGGCTCTCCGGGAGCCGCTCTCCCTGTGCGTCTGTGACTGTCCCTGACTCCCGACCGCGGTCAGCGCTGGCTGGATGTCACTTGCCTGCTTTCGGGCGTGCCTCTGCCTCTGCTGGGCCCTTTACAGCACAGCAGGCTGGGGGAGGGGGCAGCGCTGGGGAGCTGCACGGCCCCGCGTGGTCCCCACATGCTCAGCTGCTGGCCGTCCCTCCCCTGGGAGCCAGCTCGGGCCCGAGACTGTCCTGGTGGGCAGAGGGTGCGAGCGGCCCCGGCAGGGTTCGCGTGGGGCTGTGCCAGGCAGTGACGGTTCCCGTGAGGTCCCTGCACGTGGTTTATCTCCGACCTCAGCGTGGGCGGTGCACGTGGGCTGCGTGGTTGGCACTCACCCCCAGTCTGCCCTCCAGACTCCTCGGGGCGTGGGGGTGGCTGACATTCACAGGGCCCTCAGACCAGCTCCTGGGACACCCCTGCAGGTCCCCCTCTCCCTGTTCCCATCACGGGCACATTCTGAGTCCTTAGGAACACACACACCCATAAGTGCCTTCTCTGTGCAGGCCTCACCCACAGAGTCTCACCCACACGCACAGCCTCACCCACCCGCACAGCCTCACCCACCCTCACAGCCTCAGGCACACACACAGTCTCATTCAGGCGCAAAGCCTCACACTCACTCACATACTCTCTCACATTCTCCTGGATAGTCACACTCACAGCTTCGGGTCACGCACAGGATCACGAACACATACAGCCGCTCCCATACACACAGCTTTTTGACACGCTCAGCCGACTACATAGGCAGAGCATGACACAGCCACAGAGAGTCACCCAGGCAGTCAGCCCCACCCACCTGACAGTCTGTGAGGAAAGGAGCGCATCTTTCATCCTCACGTCTGTATCCCCAACATGAAGCCCAGTCCATAGCAGTGATGGCAACACTATGAGACGCA